AAGGGGTAAACAACAAAAAAATAGTGAATTAAAATAAATTCTGTTGAAAAAGGCAGTTGTACAAGAAATAAATTAAATAAATAGTTATATTATAAATATACACTACATAAACCAAATCATTTCTAATTTATAGGGAATTGCAACAAACAACTATCACGCCAAGATGAATAACAAGGAAGCAGAAAAGATTATCCAACTAGAAAATGATTATTTCTTAAGCAACAATTTCGACCCTATGAGCGATCATTACTATTCAAAAGAGAATAGCTTTGTGCCAGGCCCCAGTGGAGATTTCGGTTGTATTTTGGATTACAATTCCATCAATTTGAAAGATAAAAATCGGATTAAGTTATATGTATCGAATATCCCTGAAGAGTTGACTGACAGAGGCTTGAGGAATATATTTCAGAGTTATGGAGATGTCATAGAATCATGTATTAGACATGCGGAGAGTGGGCATAAATATGGTTTTGTAAATTACAGTCACTTAGATACAGCAGTGGCTGCAATGCATGGTTTGCATTTGAAAGCACCTCATCGATTTGTCATCAAATTTTCTGACAGTAACATAGCAACGCCTGCAGAAGATATTAAGCATGAACCTTTGAAACCATTAATTCATGAAATAACTTATCGAGACCCTCTTCTTCCATTAGTCTTATCAGACGCTAGAAAGAAATTTTTGAACAGTGATTTTTATAAGAGTATCAAAGAACCAGAAAAAGCACATAATAGGTTGATTCAAAAACTTGCCAAGAAGCCTAATGATTTTTCTAAAAGATATTTGACACAAAGGAAAAATATTAGTAGTCTTAGTGATGCAGAAATATCAGCTCCCTTCGAAGTGAATAAAGAATTTGAATAATTCATGCAACTATTGTCAAGAACCAGCTGCATACATATGTAATATATCACGTGTTATTATTGCTCATTATATTGTCAAGAGAAAAAAACTGCAAAATCAGTTTAAAATGTAATAGAAGAATACTTTCATCTTTCATAGTATTTATCTAATCATACTTATCATACTAAGGCTTTTCATAGCCTTATATAATCATGAAGAAAACAACTTTTGATTGAGCTGATTCATCTACATTTACAAAACAGATTTTTTGATTTCAAAGATGTAATAATTCTTAATTGCTTGACATACTAAGAGCATTTATACAAAGCATTATTTGGCAATACATCATTAATTATTATATGAAAGAAAATTTTGAGAAACATTTGCTGGAAAATGAAGATATCTTAAATCGAGGTGTGTTGAAATCTTGACTTGGAACTTAATACCTCTAGAACATCAACTTCTATAATGTTCAATGATTATATAGAGCTTAATCAAATGATCAAGAACTAAATCACATAAATCTTATTGCCAAATATGGTTTCATTTCAGTTTTGAAATCTATCATTTATATCAATATCTAGATCATTTATATATAGGAATTTCAGATAACATGCATTTTTTGTTAATAGATTATAGATGTATATGTGTGAGATGATTTATTAAACATAATCTCATAATTAAGTTCTTTTTCATTGTTATTTAAACCATATCCATGAAGATATCATATTCTATTATAGAATTTGAACTATTAAACTATTTGTTCAGAAAACAAAAACCATGTTTCATTTATGTAAGTATTCAGCAAATATACAATACCAGGTAAGTATTTCCAAACTCGTGTCATATAAATGATTTCATTACATTTAGGAACAGTTTTTGAAACTAAATTTTAAAACTGAGACAGTTATGTAGTTCAGTAAACTAATGAAAATTCACATGCAAATCATAATTTTAAACTACACTATTAAATGTATATAATAGCAACTAAAGAGTAAATATTAAAATGATATTAGAAATAATTAACTACGATGCAGATTAAATTCAAAACTGAGCTAAACTGAACTAAATTGACAGAGAGTTCAAAATAAAATGCAAATGGCGACCTGTCAATTCTGGAATGCAAAAAAGCGCGAAATTTGAGCGACTCTGAATTATTAAATTTTACTTTAAGTATACTGAAATACACTGATTATAAATATGTCATTACAACTACATTATTATAAATATTTCAAAGTCTTCATTAATGAATTCTTTAAAGTAAATATCAATGAACTTCAAATATATGTTAAAAAATACTGATACAACACAGTTATTTAATTATAATTAATCCATATAATATATTCATGCTTATTGTTATTTTATAGTATATGACAGAAAAGAAATTTCTTCGCTACGCTTTGGTATCTGTTCTTTATGAAGTATTAATTATCTATTAAAACTCGTACTACAACTACACAATTTTATAACATTTTGGAAAAATTGCATTTATTTAAAAACAATAAACCACTTTAATTCTTCGTGATGATTACATGCATTGTTATATGATTTGAATATACTTGTTTCATCCGAGTGTTAGCACTCAATTTAACTAATACTTTGCTATTATAATACAATAAAATATGGTTTATTCTTATAAATTTATAATCCATCAATAAAAGACGAGGATTTTATTATTTTGTTATTTACATAGAAATAAGTATACAGTAAATTAAAAATATATAGTATTGGATCTAAAAATTAGCAAACATGTACAAAAATACTTGAAACTTAATATTAATATAAAATAATTAAAATTGATGTAAATAGCTTAAAAATAAAATACTTTAAAGATAAATACTTGACGGGAATTCAACACTCTGATAGCACACTTCAAAACTATTCGAATTATTCCATAAAACATGTACTTGTAAATGTACATAGCTTAAAAATACTTTAAAGATAAACACTTAACAGGAATTTAGCACTCTGATAGTACTCTTCAATAACTATTCAGATTATTCCATAAAACATGTACTCTTCATTTTAATATTTAGATTCAATTTGCTATTCTTTTCTTCACTGTTTTTTTATTTTTTTCAAATTTACGTGCAAAACTTTCTGATCTTTTGTCACTTAAGCTTTTTACAAATTCTTCTAAACATTCCTGAAGTAAGGTTTGGATAATGGTCTCCGTCTGAGATTCCTAAAAAGTGATGATTAGAAATAGAAATTAGCTTGATCAAAGGATAGATAATAGTTATAAATGTATAGTACATATAAACTACATATGTACATATAAAATAGTACATACAAATTATTGGGGTGGTCAACTATTTTTTGTTCAAAAAGAGAGACCACTTTATTTTCTTTTAAAAATATATCTTTCTTTTGAGAGGATTTTTGTTTCCAATAATAAGATGTTTATCTTTTAATGTAGCCACACTCAAACAACTTCTATTTTGCATATTAAATTAAACAGAAAAAAACGTCATATAACATTTTTACAGAAAGTTGTAGACTTCTCACTGCTTCAATAATTACCCTCTAAGAAAAATATCCTTTCAACAATAGCATTAGTGCCTGGACATCGTATATACAGTAATTATTTAGTAAAACTTATCAATTTTCATGAGAGATAACATTTCTCAAATTTTTTCCCTTTACACCTCTACAAAAAATTGTTTTAGGAATACAAATGAGTGTAAAATCATATAAATGACTATTCGAAGTGTACAGTTTGCAAAAAAGGTGTACAAAACACTGCAAAAAAGTATAGTTGGCCACCTTAATATTTATAAATCAACTCAGAAAGTTAAGGATATAACATTTACAAATGTTATAATATTTAGTTTCATTGCTGCAATATTTGAACAATATAATCAATATATTATCAACTGTTTATGTTGACCATAATTATAAATTACCGTTAATTCTGAGTACTTCCACCCCTTTCGAGATAAACAGCAATTAGAAGAATGTTTTTTGTGCTCTTTCCAAGGATCATCCGATTCTTCCCATCCATCTAGTTCCTTATTGCAAACGAAGCATACTGCTAAATCATATTGCTTTACATCTGGCATATAAAATCCAGCTTCAGCCATCTGAAAATCAAGATTCTTGATAAAATTTGATCATCAATTTTAAACTTCAAAATCATAATATGTGAACCTTTTCAGCTGAACAGTTAGAATCGTCACTAAATGGCCATTTAATAAAGGTTTTAAGGCGTTCTGATTTTAGTAAATATTTCAAACGTAGTGTTTGCTTTTCATTCATCCAATTCTCTGCTGAAATCATTATTCATCCAGCTCCTCGAATGTCTGTTGACCGCGGTTAAAACTGTTTGTGTTTAAGATGCTTGTTCACAATTTCTAAAAGTCTTTGACCCACACTAGATTTAAAAACGGGATTTGATAAAATAATTGTAAACACTATGTAATTAAAATATATTTGTTGATAATAAAATAATTATAAACATATTTTTATTATATATTGTCTATGGCTATCAACAACGAAAAGTCAATGACAGTTTTTCCTTAAAATATTTATGTTGCTAAGTGCAGCCAACTTAACGCACGAACAATTGTATTTGGAAGCCATCTGGTGTGTGAATATAACTTTATTTAACGGATTTCAATGGTTCTCAAAACACCCCCGAGGCAAATAAGAATTTATACTGGAGTTGAGTAACTCCGGAGTTATATCCGAGGATGATGATATAAATTATAATATAATAGTATAAATTAATTTATTTCATAGTAATGTGTCATGCTTTATCCATTCTTTTTCTTCAAAAATAATTATAAAATTGTTTTTGGTTCTCAAGCTTTCTGTTTTTACTTTGGTCAACTGCATAAAATATGAGCATTCAAAATATATGAAAATATTCAAAAGTTTATTATTGGACTATATTAGAGAATTCCACATAGCCGCAATCTTTGAATAACTTAAAATTTCAATTTCCCTTTAAAGGTTAACGGCAAAAATAGGAAAATGCAATAACAATATAATTATACAATAAACTTCATTATTATCTATCTCTATATTATGCCAACTGAATGAAATTCTTATTTCTTTCTTCATACTTTTACAAATTATTCTTGCCCATATTATCTTGATCCTAATCTTAGTTGTTATAACTTAATAGAATTAACAGTAAATAATAATTTGTGTTCTTAGAATCATTTTATTAATACAATAAACAATCTCTTTATAATATAGAATACTCTAATTTGGTTACCACAGTCTTTTCACATCTGTTGGAGCCACAGAACAATTTAAAAAATTTTGCTCTTGGCTTTGTGATACCCTGTAAAATTTGTGAGAATTATTAATTATATACCTATACTGTCTTATTAGTTATTAATCTAATAATATTTTCATAAAAAGTTGATCAATTATACTAACTTGTTGTTTTCAGACTCTCTACTTTCTGTTGATATTACAGAACATGTATCACCTAGAGTCCTTAAATCCCTCTGCATCATTTTCATGAGTCTTGTGCAATCTTGATCGAGTTTTAATGCATCTGGTGGAGGAGCTTCTGGACTTGCTAATAGAACTGATAATCTGCAATTGATGAAGCAATTTAACAGTTTGGGTGAATATTGGGTGAATCATATTTTTAATCATTATTGAGGAATAACTAACTTGATATTAAACTGATCTATTCGTTTTTCTAATTCTGCTTGATAATCTGAAATATGTCTAAGCAGATTCCACCGACATTGTTCATTGTCTATTGCTTCTTCTGGTACAGGAGCAGTGTTTGTTATCAATACTGAAATATAAAAATTTAATTAAAGTTAGGTTTTTTTCATGTTATCTATAATAGATAATTATAAATTAATAATTATGTGAGCTCTTTAAAATTTTTTTGAAAGCTTATTTTAAATAAATAAAATCATGGCACTAATAAATATTTAAAAAAAAAAAAAATTCATTTATACAAATAAATCTGTGACTATTTTTTGTGTTCCATGATACTTTCATCTTAAATACAATGAATATCAAAAGAATTCTAAATATTAAAAAAAGAATTATCAAGGAAAGGATGGCAGTAAATTTACTTAAATAAAGTTTTCAGTAAGTATTAAAATATTAACTCAAGATATCATATTATATATAAGCTGATGAGTTCTTAGTTTATCAATTATCAATAATCTATTACCTTCCTGGCCTACAGTTTGAGCAAAATTCTCCAGCTCGCGATCACTGACTAGATCAAATTTTGTTCCACCTGGTGAAGCTAATAAAGGTGCTAAAAGATTCTGACTATCAGTAAGATCTCCTGAACTGGTTGATTTAATACTTGCTGCTGATTTTCCTGAATCCATTAACTTTGTGTCATCACTTGACATAAAACTTAATAGATCCATATTAATTTTACAATCTTCATCTTGTTTATTGCCTCTCATAGGGCTATTGAGATCATTTTCAGTTTTCATATCTCCTTCCAGAATGGAAACTAATTCTGAATCAGTAGGTATTACATGGTTGGATTCTAAAATAGCTGATAAGTCCAAAACATCGCTTTTAGCTAATGCTGCAAAATCATCCTTAGATTCTGAGTCCAAATTTAAACCACGACTTGGGGTTTCAGTGTTCATTAGAGTATTGTTACCTAGAAATAGCATTCATTTAATGAATATTTACTTTTATTTTGCTATAGACAAACAAATGCATTTTTTGAAAATAATTAAAAGTAGATTATATTCTTTATTTTATACATATTCATGTCATTTCTGAAAAGAAAGTCTAAAAATTTGTATATTCCAAACATACCTGTAGGTGTTAGTATGGTGTTATTAGCTGGATTTAATCTCGTATGGCTAGATAACATATCTACATCATTAGTACCTAAAAGTAGTTATAATTATATGTATGCACACACACACATATTTAAGTATATATATATATATATATATATATATATATATATATGTATGTTACGGTAAATGTGCACTCTTGGTGAATATGCACATTCACCGATGAATGTGCGCATTCCCCAAAACACACTAGGTGAATGTGGAGTTCTCAAACAATCAAATTAAAATAATGGTGTACGTGGGTACTTGGATCGATCTCATGAACATCTTGCGTATTTGGCGCATGCGCACTAAATAGTTAACAGTACATAGCTGAATAGTAAAATAGTAATATAGTGTATAGTGAATAATTAATATTAAATAGTAAATAGTTAATTGTTAGTAAAATAGTAAATAGTGAATTTAGAACAGTTAAATAGTGAATAGTGAATAGTTAAATAGTGAATAGTTAATAGTTCAATAGTTATAGGTAAATAGTTAATAGTTTAAGTAACTAGTAAATAGTTTAACAGTTAATAGTTAAATAGATGAATTGTAAATAGTGGATAGTTAATAGTAACTAGTGAATAGTGATAACTGAATAGTAAATAGTAAATAGTTAATAGTGATAACAGAATAGTTAATAGTAAATAGTGATAGTGATAACTGAATAGTTAACAGTAAATAAAGAATAATGAATAGTTAATAGTTAATAGTAAATAGTTGAACAGTAAAATAGTGAATAGTGAATAATGATAACTGAATAGTTAATAGTAAATAGTGAATAGTGATAACTAAATAGTTAATAGTAAATAGTTGAATAGTAAAATAGTGAATAGTGAATAATGATAACTGAACAGTTAATAGTAAATAGTGAATAGTGATAACTTAATAGTTAATAGTAAATAGTGAACAGTGATAACTAAATAGTTAATAGTAAATAGTGAATACTGATAACTGAATAGTTAATAGTAAATAAAGAATAATGAATAGTTAATAGTAAATAGTTCAATAGTAAAATAGTGAATAGTGAATAATGATAACTGAATAGTTAATAGTAAATAGTGAATAGTGATAACTAAATAGTTAATAGTTAATAGTAAATAGTTGAATAGTAAAATAGTGAATAGTGAATAATGATAACTGAATAGTTAATAGTAAATAGTGAATAATTGTTAGTAAATAGTGAATAGTTGTTAGTAAATAGTGAATTAAGAATAGTTAAATAGGTAATAGTTAATGGTTAAATAGTTAATAGTTATTAATGAAATAATTAATAGTTCATAGTTAATAGTTAATAGATAAATTGTTAATTGATAAATAGTTAATAGTGAATAATAAATAATGGATATTAATATGCATAAGACTAAAATAAATAATATAAATATAAATATAAATATAATTATAAATATAATTATAACTATAATTATAAATATAAATATAAATATATGAATTAGTATTTCACGCACATGCGCGAGTTGAACTCGCATTCGCCAAATGAGCCGGTAAATGTGCACATTCACCGAAATATGCACATTTACCGTAACATATATATACATATATATATATATATATATATATATATATATATAAATGCATATATTATATAAATACATATACAATATTTAGCAGATATATGCCACAAGTGTAAAAAAACAACAAGAAAATTCTCAGTACATAAACAAATATGCTAACTGTTAATTCTATTACAAACAAAAATGTTACCTGGTTTATTCATATTCTTTGATTTTAATAAATTCATTTCATTCTCTATCCTAGCGCCAAGAAGTTCACTCTCATTAACGGCATTACATAAATCTCTTTGAAGAGCTTGCAGTGTAGGTGATATTTCATTATCATCTTTGAATCGAGAATTATTTGTTGGACTTTGATCTTGATTTGCATCCATAGTATCATTATTCATGTCACTATACTTTCCCCAAGGTTTAGCCCAATAATAAAATTTCGGGTGATGTGTTTGCCTAAAAATTAAAATCAGTATTATATATTTACCAATGGATTAATGGAACACATCACATCAACAATTAATATATCTTAACTTACATGGCCATAGATAATTTAGCTCTTAGTGATTTTAATACTGGCATAAGTTCTAAGGCATTGCCAGTGGTTTCATGAACACACTTAGTAAATTCTTGTAGATTTGTTATGTTTTGTTTCTGTGCAGATGTTTTTAAGTTCAGGTCTTCTGTTATAAAGTGAGGTAAACGACCTTCTAATAACCATTCTTGATCATGAATATATCTAAAATAATATTTGATCATTATCTGAACACATATAACATTGAAATACACTTAAACATCACATTGAAAGAATGATTTTTGCTTTAAATGATTAATGTAACATTAAAGAATCACATTAATAATAAAAATGTTGTTCTACTATTATATTACTATTTTAAGTAAATCAATACACTTCTCACTTTCTAGACTGTCTTGGCTTTTGGGGATTAGTACAAATTGCACAAACATATTTGTCCGGAACATCTCGTTCCCTTTGAATACCATGACATAATGCATGTTGCCAACAAAGACAGAGTTCACACTGAACCATAAGTCCATCTTCTTCTCGGTGTCCACAGATACAATTAATAATTTCCTCTCTTCGCATTCGCACCAACTTAATTTCTTCGCCATCTAGGGAGAAAAATAAAATATCAATACAGCATAAAGTACAATATGTGAATATAAAAATCATGCAAGAATATAATTCATTATTTTTACAATTCATACTGAATTATATTACTCAAAACATTGAAAAATAAAATGATCTTAAGATGATCATTTCTAAAAAAAATTCTTATAAATTTAGATTTTTTATTTAAAATACCTTTTTTTAATCAACAATTGCATGTAACATATACATGTTAAAACTTCCATAATAAAATAAACATGCATTATGTTACAAAGAAATATTAAAGAATTTTCAGCATACTGATTTAACAAGAAACAACAAATTACATAAGATAACGAATATAAAAGATACATGCATAATAAATTTTGAAAAAAAAAATTTCACCGTTAACTTAAATCTTATAATTAGTAAATTGATTCAACCAGATTCAATGGACAGATAGAATAGTGTATTCAATAATTAGAGAATATTAAATCCCTTTTCACAAATCAAATATATTACAGTTAAATAAATTATGTAAAAAAAGAAGATTCATTAATTGCCAAAAATAAATTTGCAAAATATATGTTCAAAATGAATTAATATAAATACAAATTCTGAAAACAAGTATTTGAATTGAATCAAACCTGGTTATTATCAAATATAATGTTTATCTAAGTATCTCTTTTAATACAGCTGAAAATTCAGCAATAATTCTGCTAATAAAATACATTGATATTTTATCATGACTATAAAAATTTACAGTGTAAACATTCACTAAAATAAATTAAAAAAAATTAATAAAAGAAATGTTCGTCAAAAATTTATTGATAAAACTTGTGTAATATGAGATGAGTAAGAGAAAATACGCAAGAAATAAAATACTAAAAAATTTTGAAAGTTCATGTAAGACAAAAAAAAGTTACCATACTATTTGCAGTAAAAAATCATAGCACATTGTTAAAATGCATTATTATATGTTTAGCCAAACGACATACTAATCAATAAAAATAAACTATAACAACCCAAAAAATATTCTCACACAGAAATTTTCTGACCTTGCATAACCACTGGCAGCATTGAATAAAAAATATGATATTATTTACATTTTATGCACAAATGAATTTAAAAAAAATATCCAAGAAATATTCTTTTATGCGTGATTATCTCAATGTGACGAATGACAACTGATCAATGCATATGAATATAAAAAAACATTAAAACGAATTGAAAACACATTATATTATGTTTCAATCAAAGCAAATCTATATAATATATAAGTATTATATTTCATTTTGATACATTTAATAGTGTTTTTGCTTATAGTTATGCTACATTTTGTTCTATATGGAATGTTTTAAAGATGCGACAAAATAAAGCTATATGCAGAGAATGATAATATAAATTATGAAATTCGAACTCTTATTTGGTCTTATCAAAGCTCGAAGTATTCATAATGATTATTGAACTCCATTATTTTATTGTTAGTACAGAGTATAATTTTCGGTATAATTTTTTATTTAATAAATATTATTATATAAATTTAAGCAATAAATAATATGCACTCCTCAAATAGTAGATGTGTGCCCTCCCCTATTTCATATAATTATAAGTGGCATTTTGCCTTAAGGCAAGTTGCATGAACTTAAAATTAAAAATATTAAAACAGCAGAAATAATTGCAACATATTTGCCTGATCTTCCATTGATTATTTTGTCTTATAAAAAATGATTCTTATAAGAGTGTATTTATAAATGAGATCACAATTGTGAATTAATTTGTGAAATGAAGCTATGCCAATTAAAAGTAGTTGAACAAAAGCTTTTAATATAGCAATAATAAAATTATTTTATGTAATGTTCTAAAAGCCAAACTTACCCTCATTGATATAAACTTTTGGAACCTCGAGTGCAGGATCAGCCGCTTCTACAGCTTTGTTGGTGTCTGACGTATTATTGAGTGTATTTTCAATAGGTGCTTTTGAAATATCTGTTGACATACTAGATCTGCGCTGCTCCTCTTCATTTTTAACATGCACTGGGCTATGGATAAAAATTACATTAGATATAATTCAATACTTTACAAAAAATCAAGCAAAAGCAAAATAATTATATAACTAAAAAATTATTTGTAAAAACAATATAATATTATTTATTTCTTTTTAAATTCAATGATTTAAATTTAGATTTGCATTAAAAATTGAATATGAAAATATCTTAATATACATATACTAAAATAGAGTAAATTTAAAAAACATAGTTATTGCTTTGTTCTCATTTTAAATTAAATTTTACTGAAAAAATAAATGGTATTAACATAGTTCTTATATTAGTCTACTTAAAATGTTGATTATAAATTGTATGCACAAAAACTCACTCTATTGTATCGTGTTCTTCTTTTATCATTGGACGCCCACTCTTTTTCATAAGTTGTTTATTTTGGCTACGTTTCAAAAGTTTTTGTATTAGGCCAGCTGAAGTTTCAACCCTTTGCCTTTTCTGATTTAACCCTAACTTTTTATCAATTCTTGTAAAATCACTATTAATTTGATCACTCTCCGGATCTGATTTTTCTTGAAGTACTTCATTTGTAGTAGTTTCTTCGCGTTTTTTAGGAAGTAAACGTTTAATACCTCCACCAGGAATTTTCTGCACTTCAGGAGGCTCCTTGTATCTTCGACTTAGTGGTGATTCATTTTCAAAAGTGACATGATGTTTGATTTTGTTTTTATTGTCAACTCTGAGAGCTTCTTCTAATAAAGGACTTTCACTACAGGACATACTGGTTTCAGTCTTGATAACTGAGTTATTTGTCTGATCTTCATCTACTTGTTCTTTTTTCACTAAGTCAGTATTAATTTTAGTATCATGTGTTATATCCTTGTAATCATCATCATCCTTTTCTAATTTTATATCCTTTATGGGAACCTCATTTTCAATTGGAGAAGCTTTTCCTCTTTTATATATATTGTCAATCTTAGAAACTTTTTCATAAAATTGTGTATTTGAGTACCGATTTTTAGCAACTGGTTCATTTTCAGGAGTCTCTCGTATGGTTCTGGCATACGCCAAATCGGCTACATTTGGAGTTGAACCGAAATATTGTTGCAAATTCGGATGATAATGTTTTATGTGCATTTGAAGTAAATTTTCCTTCCGAAAGTTTTTACCGCAAGTTGGTTCAGGGCAACGGAATAAGTTATCAATTATCTGGACTTTCAGCGAACCCACAAACACTGTGAAGGTTGATATTCTGCGAGTTATGTATAAATTCTCAAGTAAAATAATAAAAATATAATTGAAAAAAAAAGCAATAATTATAAACAATATTTCAAAAGATTAAATAATTTGCTTCATAATTCGTATTGAGATACATTTTAAACTCATTAATAAACCTGCATCTTATGCAAAAAACAAAATGGCAATCATTAATTATAAAAATTATTAATTATGTAAAAATAACTTGACATTATGACTTCAAATATAATTAGCATACTTGAATTACTATTAAAATATTGATGGAATGAAAAATTATATTTTGAGCTAATTCACAAAAATACTAATAAAATATAAAATTCACGACAAACATATAATACAAAGTTAATTATATTTTATATATATATATATATATATATATATATATATATTATATATATATATATATATATATATACTGTGGTATCCCGATACGAGCCGCAAAAGGAGCGATTTGTGCTTCGACGTACGAACAAAATTCGAAATACAAGCTTTGAGCAAATAAGGGTTTTCTAAAAATAATGCAAATGAAAAATATGAAAGTATTTATCTTTTTCTTTACCTTACCCAGAAATATTTTGGCTTTTTTAAGATAGTAAATTATTTTATAGTTAGTCATTTCAATTACATATTAATATTAATTGTGTAGTAACAATTTACCCATGCAAGAATTATTTTAGCGTTTGAAATTTTAACTATAAATAATAGTGGTTGTGCAATTATGGATGTTAGGTTCGCGTTTTTTGCTTTTTGTACATTTACAAAATACTATGTATTTGTATACCTATGGGTTTAACCCTCCGTCGGTCGGCGTGGTCTAACCAGACTTTTTTCGACTTCAATTAAAAAAAAAATACTTCTAGTAATCCTATCGACTTGAAATTTCTTGACTTTTCCTAAATTTTCATTAGCTGTCGATCATTGAAAAAATCAGGACGAAAAAATGTACAGAAGGATAATTATAAAGATATTAACTTTTTTATACTTCGAACGGTCGGAAAGGTCTGTCCAGACCACCCATACATTTTGTATGAAATATACGCTTTTTGATATATGTAAACCAGTATTTTGTCTTTTTTCATGGTATTTTCTATTCAAACTGCGTTGTTTATATTCTTTGCTATGTGTTCTAACATGAATGTTAGTATTTTCATGACGAGAGTTTCTTGAAAACCTACCAAACTTATTGGTAATCGCAAACACTGAAAATCGGATGAGTAGTAATGCACACATTATCAACAATTTTTCTACCCGTACCGCGTTCGAAATTTTTTTTTGGCAAACCTGTAGTGAAATTATATTTTCACTTTGAGTTTTACAGCTCATTTCAAAGGCGACGCACCTCATTTCGTTTCCATTTGAATTTCACATTCATTTCAAAGGCGACGAAAAAGAATAAATATTGTTTTTCATTTATATAAAACAGAAAAATTAACAAAAAAAGCAACGATTTTTTTATATTTTTTTATTTTTTTATATAATATAATATGTAATATTTTTATTATAAGCAAGCTCAACACATGCAAAAGACTGTAAGACAAAGAAAAATCACACCTTTCAGACCTTTCCGACCGTTCGAAGGTGAAAAAATATCCGACCGACGGAGGGTTGAAGAAAAAAAAACATGTCTCTTGAATAAGTGTATAATTATTGAAAAATATGAGGAGTATGAGCCTAATACATCATAGATGTGTACTGTGTTTAACAAGAAGAAGTAGGTAAATGTTATAACTCCAGCTAAGGTCCTCACACTAATTTAAAAAAAAAGCTTAGCTTTAAAACATTGTGGATAAAATTAACCTCGAAAGAGCTGCAACAGTTTGAACATGGGGGTTATTCAACAAAACATGCCTAACTCATTTCTGCAATATCATGAATAGACAAGAAAAAACAATAATTAAATTAATAAATAGTATTTTTTTTTATTTATTATTAATATTCAAAAGGCTTAACAAACACCACTATGCTAGAATGGCATAGATTTAATGGCATTCAAATGTATTAAAAAAGTTGCTTTGAGATACGAGCAATTTGATATATAGTCGTAATTTCGGAATGAATTAAACTCGAATGATAGGGACCACTATATACATATATATATACTATATACATATATATATATATATATATATATTATATATATAAATATATAGAAGTTTGTAATATGAGCGGAATGAATATTAAATGTTAAATATGAACAATACGAAACTCAGATTTTTAACACACACTTACCAAATAAAGTGTGTGTTAAAAATTTGAGTGTTGTATTGTTCATATTTAACATTTAATTATATATATATATATATATATATATATACAGTGGCGTCGGAACCATCAATTTCAAAAAATTATATGGGCTAATATCTCTAAAAAAAAAACGAACCCATTGGCTGTCTATCAAAAATTTGGTTCCGACGCCACTGTATATATATATATATATATATATATATATATATATATATGTGTGTGTGTTTCAGTGAATTTGTATCAGTTTAAAAAGTTTGACAAAAAATGATTTCTCTGATATCATGCTGAATTTAAATAATATCCACTTACCAAACCCATCTTCTAAAGGTTCATTGGGTTGCATTACAGGAGTTTTGCATTCTTCTTGAGACATGTTTACTTCAGCTTTTGGAGTCAAGCATTTGTTGTTCAATATTTTTCCGTCAGCATTAGAATTATTGCTACTATTAGGATGTGATATTTTCTTTTTTTTTATTGGTGTTGTATCCCATCCAATTTCTTTAGAACGTTTTCTATGCAAGCCAAAATCAAAACTATCTGAAGTGTACGGTTTCCCACTGTCAGCAAGAAATGAGTCAATTTCCTTCTTTGAACGAAATTTTCTATTAGTTGCTGAACTGAAAGTAAATAATTCACTCATTTCCCAAATTTCAATATCTATATATTGTGCAGAATTCCAATGTGTATTAAATAAATTAAATGTTTTGCGTTTTTAAAATTACTACTTACTTGACTATTACTACATCCCATTTTCCTGAGTATCCAGTAGTATTTCTCTTCACAATATGTTTAACCCAGCCTTCAGGTAACCTTGGATCATGAACTATTGTGCTAGGTTTTTGGCCCCATCTGCAGAATCAATATGACCAGGAGTTCCAACAGGTTGATCTCCCTCCCACCGACAACACCACTCTTCAGGGGATTTGTGATTTGTGGATTTATTTACTGGTTCTAGAAGTATTTAAAATTTAATTTGAAAGTTAATAAAAAGTATTTAGAAGTAATTGTTTAATTTTATAATATACTGTTTATTTCAGAATGGTGTCTACATATATTCACAGAATATGCAAGCAATTTGAATAGAATTTAAGTATACTTGTACTTAGATACATAAATTTAAAACAGTATGTTACATATGAAGTTAAATATTGTACCATAAGAGTATTGAAAAAGTTTAAAATAAAATATTTTAAATAAAGTACTAAAAGTAAAGGTTAAACATAGGATAAATATATAAATAAATATGTACATACGGAAATAAATAAAATATATAATATAAAGAATTAAAACAAAATAGCATAATAGTTACTTTGTGCACTGAAGTCCCACCCGAATCTAACACCTTGCCCTTAACCTTATTCACACGACTCAAATACGAACCAGGAAGTGTTTTTATATAACCATCATCAAATAAAACTTCATAACTATCTACAAACAAAAAAATAATTTGTTTTTTTGTAAAATTTATACTTTAGTGCATACATAAATAACTACAGTGATATTAAGAATGATATACCATTTTCCAAGACTCTTCGAACTGTGGCTGGAAATTTCCTAGAATCTGTCCATTTTGCCATGCAACGCTCTCCTTCTTTATACATTCTTGAACTTGAATTTAATGAATTATCTTTTGCAAGTTGTATTGGTCTCAAACGTGAACTGTTCATTGGAATCCATTCATCAGATCTAAAAGTGAAACAAAAGACAATAAAATTAGTATTATAAACAAAGTCAAATTAATTAGTTCAGGTGTAATTCCAAACAAATAAATCTTTAAATATAAATAATTATCTGAATAACCATTATTTTATCTCATCTTATTTAAAAATATATATATATATGAAATTTGCAGCTTTGTTGTAATGCAAATAATGCTGGTGACAATTTTAGAATTTTGTTTAGACACTGATATG